CGGGCGCCGGGAGCGAAGCTCTGAGTCACCCGCCACGACGCCGGGGAGGAGCCGGCGTCGCCCCGCCGCGCCCACTTGCCCCGAGCGGGTGCCGGCGCCGGTGCCCGAGTGCGCCCATCCCGCCGCGACCACACCTTGGGCCCCGGCGGCCGAGAAGAGTTGGAACCTTGCTGTGGTTTCCATCCAGTCCCGCGCTATCTCTACTCCTGTGGCTGTCTCCGCTCTGCGCCCTTTCTCTGTCCCCTTTTGCAGACGCCTCACCTCACACGCCTCGTTTTTTTCCCTTGGTTTTATGTAGCTTCGTCGTCGCACTAGTTTGGCTCTTGTCACCTCTGCCAGAGTTCAGCCTCCCAAGGTAGTGGTACACCCCACAGGCCGACCGGTCTTTGCCTTGAAATCCCCCTCCACCTGTGTGAACGGTAGAACAGCGTGGGGTGACAGGAAAAAATCGCACTCGAAGAACACCTCCTGGATCCAAATGCTAACTTCTGCTCTTTTGGAAAATTGCCTAGGGGGCATGGGAGACCTCTTCAGACATTTCGGAAGACTAGCCAAATTCCTGCTTTTGAGGAGGCAGAGGAATAGAATTTTTGAGAGTTTCACTCAGTAGATTCCAACTCTTGATCCTCCTGCCTCAGCTTGCCGAATGCAGAGATTACAGGCCAGAGATTACGCCTGGTTATGGAATTCCTTCGATACCGTATTATTACTTTCAAAATAAATGTTCTAAAATAAAAAGTTACCAAATAAACATCCGATTAATACTCTATACTCTGCACTTTGCTTCAGGTCTAGGACAGGGGAACAGAGAATTTGTCTTTCGTTTACAGTTTACCTCATTCCTAGGATAGGAAAAGGTATGTTTCTGCCTCCAGCTTGATAGTAAATTGAATCACTGTGATATAATGTTTTTATATTTGTGAAACATATATCACACACTTTCCTAAATTTAGCAAGGAAAGGGTTCTTTTCAGTTGCTAACATTCTCCCACTAAAATTATAGCTTCTTTATAGAAGACTGAATTTGCTGCCTTTGCAGTGGGCTAAATCTATCCCCTTGTTTGCAGTTTACTGAATACACTAGTCTCAAATTCTCTGAAGATTCTGTACTTTCAGTCACCTGCAGAAAATAACTGTCTGAAAATATTACATGAGAAACACCAGAAATTAAAAATTCATTCTTTAAATGGCTTGATATAGTACATTGTTACAGTTACCCTATTTCATCATTAATTATTGTTGATCTCTTACATGTGCTTTGGAAATCAAATTTTTTCTTAAGTACAGGAGGAAAAAAAACCAAAACTAAACTAAATTTGTGGGGAATATACCCCACAAATAGGAATTTCTAGCAACCACAAGGGAATTCAGCTAGAATGTTAATTTAAAGGATACTCTTAAAAAAGCATTCCCTCAAACAACTAGGCCTCTGTCCCTGCTAGGAAAAACAGATGAATCTGTTCCTCCTGCCTTTTCCTCCTCCTCCCTCGCACTCCTAGGGAACCTTCCACAACAAGGGTTTAGCAGCTGTTGCTATGCAAGCGTGCCAACTTCCTTGTGTAGGTGAAGCACAACTAACTCAACTTCGAGTATAAGCAACCCAGATAATGTAATTATTTGAAATATTCATGTTGGCAAAGACCCTTCTGAGTTCCCTTATAAAGTGGGATTTTTAAAGTTTGTTTTTGTGTCATCAATATTCAGTTAAAAATTAAAAGGTGTTTCTGGGGGCCAGGGAGATGGCTCAGTAGAATAAGTGCTTGCCTGGCAAGTGCAAGGGCCTGAGCTCAATCCCCAGTTCCGCCAAAAAAAAAAAAAGACTAAAAGGTGTGTCTCAAAATTCATTTGTATGATAAAATTAAGCAAAACTAGGAAAAGAGGAGCAACTTTGAAGAAACAAGCATTTAGATATAAAGACTGGTCTGTGAGAAGTCATTTATATGTTGTGGTTAAACTAAAAATATGAGATACAGAGGATAATTTGTCCTTTGAGACCTTAATTTATTGAGAAGGAAGATAATGTGGTAATTCACCAGAGGGACCAAAGATAGTCTGAGTTTTATTCCTAAATTGACAACTATTTAAAATTTTTAACTGGGAATTGAGCTTTTGTCCCCTGATTTTGCTGCTTTAAAAAATTGTTTTGGTTTTTGTAGTGTTGACATTCATGGCAAATTAGTACAAATTAAAGGAGGAGGCTGGGGATTTAGCTAAGGTTTCAACACCTGCTGGGCAAACGTGAAGTCCTGAGTTTGATTCCAAGTACTCCCCTCCAAAAAAAGATTGAATGAGATGTTATATTAGTTTAAATGTACATAAAAAATTCAAAATGAACATATATAATTTCAATTTTAAAGCTTTTAATTGTTTTTGAGATGGAAGTTAATAATTAATGTAGTTAATAGTTCAGGTTGGCCTTGAACTCATATAGCACATACTGTTCTAGACTTGGTGCCAATACTTCTGCCTCAGCCTCTCAAGAGTTGGCACTACAGATGTGTGCCAAGATGCCTGTATTAAATTTCAGACCTCTTGATGTTGATTATTCATTTAATTTGGGACATTTTTATTGATACATAAAATAAACTGCTTTATTAAGTGACTTAAGCTAAAGCTAACATATTCAGAAGGCTGTACTTAAGACAAAGGTTACATGTTTTATAGTCATCTGTGCTTAGAAATTAGCAGTTTGTAGCTTTAAGACAATTTAAACCATTTAATTTTGTTTCATGTTTTATTTAATTCTCATCTGGAATGCTCAGAAATTTCAACACTACCCTGATCTCCACTACTAATATTCCTTGAAAATTAAATGAATCATTTTATATGAAGTACTTTGTGTATGCTACATAGTATGTACTCAATGAAAAAGTTTTAAAAATTCACTTATGAAAAAAAAAACACATTTTCTGACAGCAAGGCATTATAGTACATGCCTATACTCCTAGCATTCTGGGAGGCTGAGATAGGAGGATCAAATATTCAAACCTAGCCTGGGCAATTTAGTGACTTAACAAAATCCTGTTTTAAAAATGTAAATAAATAAAGGAGTAGGGATATACCT